TTTTTTTGCAGAGGGCATTATCAAATCGCATTGTTGAATAGGCAAACTCTCTAAGGTTTAATTTGCCAACACATTGTAAGTATGAGATCGGGGTTAACTTACTCATGTCCTTTGTCGATAGCATGATCCAGACAGTTATAGTCGCTTTCATCTTTGAGAGAGAGATCGGCTCCTCTCTCACACAGCAGCTTCACCATGTCAACATGGCCGTTCTTGGAGGCCAAATGGAGTGGCGTTGTCTGTAGAAATGTACATATACACATGTAGACAAAGGACAGTCCCTACGATAATATCCTTCAGCCAATGAATGACTAGGAACTGTAGCGGGTAATGTATTCTAAGGGAATTCCTCCAATTTATCTTAGAAAAAAGCATACAGCTGCTCCAACAATGTAATGAGCAATGAACACTACACTCGTCAAATATTTTGCACTTTCCTCTTCACAATCGAATACAAGATTAGTATATTTGTGATTCTTGCAAGTAAAACTGAGCAAGGGAATTCTTGGTGATATTCATCATGTTGCCATTCACGTGATCAGAATTGTGAAGGGACCAGTCAAGAGTAAAACGAAATTGACTACAGGATCTATGCGAAAGCAGAGTAACCAGCAGTCTACTAGAAGATGTGGAGGAATTTTGATGGCATTTGATAGTCCATCAGGTTACTGTAAAACTGACACAAGACTTTCCCACATGTTGTCAAAAGTTGTCACTAAAGCACTAGTGACCAGTCACCTAATGACGTTGTTCATGTTCATGTGATGGAGAGAAAAACTTCATTTGAGGTGAAGACCAGTGAAATAGAACATCATTTCATGAAAGTATTCTCACAAATACCATAAACGAACATTATTTGCATGACTCTGCAAATGTCCACCAAAGCCTCAATGCATATTGTGCAGCAATACAATTTTTGTCACTCAAACAGACCTCCCAACATTTTAATTCCAAAATTCCTAATCAGTCCCTCACCCCACACAAACTGTGAATTTGTGTAAGATATTTAAGTAACAGATTACTTTGGCATGTGTGTGTCACTAGTGTCGGAGGGCAAAAGGTTTGCTCAAATTTCTATAATTTGTGCCAGCAAATTTTGAACTTTAGGCAAGTTCTTAATAAAATTTATTTGAAAAACAAATTGGTCCTTCGCCCCTTTTTGAAAATTGCCCAAAGCAGCATGGGTCTAACTCAGTCTCTTACCTTGGCTTTGTCAGTTGGGTCTATGGGGCTATCATTCTCAAGCAGAGCAGTGGCACACTTCACCCAGCCACTGGCTGCCGAGCAGTCCAGTGGAGTCCACAGTGACTGGTTCCTATCACGGATCAAATCAAATTGACAACTCATGGTACTTGTAAACATTAGTTTAACCACTTCCTGCCGGGGACTCCAGAATCGGAGACAGATGGTTTATATGCATGGCCAGGGTCTCCGAACTCGGACAAAGGAAACAGGGCCCTGTAACAAAAGACCGTACTACAAACAAAAGACCAGGCTGCTGGGAATTATCAACATTTTTCACTCTCAAAAGTGGTGATAATCCAGCCTTGTTTTGAAA